TGCCTCTGCCTCTGCCTCTGCCTCTGCCTCTGCCTCTGCCTCTGCCTCTGCCTCTGCCTCCTGAGTGCTAATACTGAAGGCTTCTGACACCACATTAAGCATGCAGTGCTTATATAACAACTATAAAGACAGTTCTACTTACTTAAAGATTATTTGGGAGATATTTTCTTACCTTGCACTATGTCTTAATATTGCCACTTATGCCTTTCCTTAATGAGACCAATCTGTTAAGTATAAAAAAGAAAATGGTAAATATCTTATTTAATGCACATACTTGAATTAAAGAGAACCTCTAATCTTTCCATTGAACACTGTAGGATATAATAGCTGAATGCTGGTGTTCTATCTTTGTGGGGGGAAAAAAGATAGATGCTAGAGCCTAGATATGATAAACCAGGCATGCAGGCATTGTATCAAAAACATGGGTGGAGCACTCAGAGTAAGGTGAAGATGGTGCCAAGCAGGAGAAAGTAGTCATTGTGATAGCCAATAGGTTACAGATGGAGAGATAAGTCTATTAAGGAAAATTAAGAGTCAAGCATGGTATCACATGCCAGTAATCTCAGCACTTGGGGAGACAGAAACAGGAGTATTTTCACAAGTTTCAAGCCAATCAGAATCATAGTATGAAAACTCATGTAAAAACATATAAAAGGACTGGAGAGATGGTTCAGAGGTTAAGGCTATTCTTCCAGAGGTCCTAAATTCAATTTCCAGCAACTACGTGGCCAACCATCGATCTGGTGCCCTCTTCTGGCCTGTAGATGTACATGCATACATAATAAATAAGTATTTTTTTTAAACCACAAACAGATAAAGGAAAGAGGGAAGAGGAGAAGAAAGTGGAGGGAAAGGGGGGTAAAAGGAGACCCATATTTATCCCTTGTGAAGAGAGACACAAAAGAAGGAAAGAAGGAGACTGACCTTGGTGGGAATTTGGAAGAACTACAGAGATTCTTGAACCCAAGAAATTTTAGACGCCAAGCAGTGGTAACTCACGCCTTTAATCCCGGCACTTGTCAGGGAGAGGCAGGCAGATCTCTGTGAGTTTGAGACCAACCTGGTCTACAGAGCTAATTCTAGGACAGGCAGGGCTGCACATAGAAATCCTGTCTGGAACACCCAAAGGAGAGAGAGAGACAGAGAGAGAGAAACTTTACATAAGTAAATGCAGATGTAGATACATGCGCACACCCACATCTCAGCCCATGCACAGAGCAGTGATAATGAGCACAGCAGCAGAGATCTTCCTTGATGATGAGCCTTCTTCACTCTCTGACAATTGCTCTTCTCTGTCAGTGCTCCCTCAAGTGTATAGCCTAGGACCTGTAGCTCAACACTGCTGAGATGGAGCAAAACAGACCGATGAAAGTCATATGAGAGGTTAACTGTGCTGAAGCTACACAACAATCTCAGCTTTGCAGATTCCATGAAGAAATTTTATTAAAATAGAGACAGACAATTCATTCGAGTATCTTTTTAGGGATAAAAAGTTGATTTTAATAACTATGTAGGCAAAAACACAGAATTCTTTTATTTAGGTATAATACTTAAAATCTTTACAAAGTCTATATATACAATTTAAAACATGTTTCCCAGGCACTTGAATTTTAAGTGCATGTCATTATGTAAGTCTGTAAAACTGGTACTTTAGTGGTATTAAATATTAAGATATTTACTTTCCTTTAAAATAAATAAATAAATAAATAAATAAATAAATGTCAATGTAGTTTCATAACAGCAAACACTAAAAAATTTTTCATGAAAGACTAACTCACTCTTACTTGTTTGCTTTATTGTAGTTCACAGTGCCCATCACTCTGCTCCTTCTTCAAGTGTCAGCTTTGTTTTCACATGTTTCTAAGTTAGAGGCTGGTAAGATGACTCAACACTTGTCATTTCTGAGTTAGGAGCTGGTAAGATGACTCAGCACTAGAATTTAAGTGTGATTCTCAAAACCCACATAAAGGTGGAAAGAAAGAAATAGCTCACAGAGCTCTCCTCTGACCTTCTCATATGGGTAGCATATATATACACAATTGATAATAATAATAATAATAATAATAATAATAATAATAATAATAATAAATAGTAATAATAAGACCAGTTATTTAAAAGAAAATCCATTATAAATTAGGGTTGAGATAGGGTATGTATATGGTGTGTGTGTGTGTGTATGTGTGTGTGCATGCAAGTGTGCACATGCATGTGCTCATGTGCCCAGAGGCACACACAAGCAAGCAGGAACACCTTTCAATGAGACAAAAGAAACCTGTTACTTTAATTTTTAAGACACTTAGTTAGAATCAGAGCATGAAATCCCACACATCTAAAAAGACCTCTCGGAGTGACTTTTAAACAGCTCTTGCTTGTGGGAGATGGTGATGGACAGCAGCGTTCAGCAGGAAGAGGCAGGTGGGTCTCAGAGTTTGAGGCCAGTCTGCCCAATGACTTAAAGGATAGCAGGACTGTTTATAGAGATCCTATCTAAAAAAACAAAAATAAAACCAACAAAACAGTTCATATTTAATTTCAAATAATCCAAAGCTTCTATAGACTTCCTACACTGTGAGAACAGATGCCATTTTCTGTGGCTGACAATCCTGAATATCAGGTGGAAAATGAAAGGATTCCTTAGCCAGGTTTTCACAAAATATGTGTCCTCATTAATCTTTAAGTCCAAGTGAAAGTTTAAAATCATCTTATTTTACAGAAATATATAAGAATTCTTCTAAATTGTATGCCCTGTCCCAAATATATCTGATTCTAGGCAGCAACTTCGAGACTTGGTATCATAACCCAAGATGTGACCAGCATGGTGCTGTCTGTTCTTCTCTCCTTCATACATGGGTGGGAGATGACTCTCCTGATTTTCAGCTTCGCACCTGTCCTCATAGTGACGGGGATGATTGAGACTGAGGCAGTGGCTGGATTTGCCAGCAGGGATAAGCAAGAACTCAAGCGTGCTGGAAAGGGAAAGGGTAGGCTGTGTTTTCCATCACTAACCACATGTTTATGACTCCATCTCTTAAGAATCTGCAGAGTGCTGTAAAAATACTGAGATGCAGGTAGACCAATGCTGGGCGAAGTGTGGGTATATTACAGCAATGTAGTCTAGGACTCAGAACAGAGCTGAGCCAGGTCCTACACATGTGGCACAAATATGTTAGATATACACTTGTCACCTTTTGTTTGCTCCTCTGAAAAGCAAGGATGACAATAGAAATATCCATTTACAGATCTGTGTATTACACAAAACAGCATCGTTATACACAACACTTGGAATGGCAACCAGAAGATAGCAACCCACATAACGGTGTCATCTGCTATTACTCTTATTGTCAAGGGGAATTTTCTAACGCCATGATTCCCTATCCTCTATTTACTGAATAATTAAAAGTTCTTAAACAATAATTCTGGGTATTTTATTTCTCAAAATGTACAGGAAATCTAACAGCTACTGAATACAAGACAATGAAATTGATAATACCTAAATACTACCTATCTTTTTTATAATCAAAATAAACAACTCATGCAAATATATAGAAAATCCTATGGCACATTTAAGCTTCTCAGGATCTGAGGATCAAAAAAGTGAGCATCATGTTTGAGGTTTAGGAAAACACTGCCATAGAGTAACCATCTGTGTTGAAAGAGGCTCATTTGGTGGAAGGACTGACCTCACACATCTTCTGCTCATCCGTTCCCCTAGTGGCTAGCAAACATTACTGTCTCGGGCTTCCTACTCTTGCATTGTGTTTTAATGCTTTGGTAGGGGATGGTTTTTGTTTTGTTTGGGTTGCTTTGTATGCTATAGTCCTTTTTATTATGACAGACTTTTAGAAGCTGCAGTGTGTTCCAGGCCTTACGCTTTTTCTCTCTTTATACTGCTTCAAAGCTGATTGCCAATTGATGACCATCCTCTGAATATGAAAATAACTTTATTGTCTGTAATGGTCTGTCCTGTCCCTTTAAGAGACAAGTCCCACCCACTCCCTCCCCCATCAACTGCTGAGGCAGGAAGATCTTCTTTCCTGCCTGCAGCCAGAGTCCTTCCTTTTCCATCTCTCCTTAGAAGAGGCTGCTTCTGTCTCTCCCTTCCACCCACTTCTCCTCCCCACTCTGTTTCTCTCTCTCTCTCTCTCTCTCTCTCTCTCTCTCTCTCTCTCTCTGCTGTTTCCCCTTCTGCCCTTCCCCTCCATAGCCCACTAAATAAATATCCAACTTCACTCTACAAGGTGTGCTTATCCATCTCGGTCTTTTGGCTTCCTGCCTGGGACCCGGTTGCCTTCGTGGCCTGCCATGGTCTCAGGACCTGCTGCCCACTGCCTACCACTGTTTGGTGACCTGTGGCATAGTCTCATGGCCTGATGTCCACTGTTACTACTCAGGGACCTGCATCATTTAATTTAAACCATAACAATGTCATCTATAGTCCACATCATAGTAACTAGATTAGAGCTGCCATCACACATATTCTTAAGTGTAGACAGTTACTTAGTGATCTGGTTTGCCTAACCCTTGGACTTTTCCACATTTCTTACACTAGATAAAGAAAGAGCCTTGGAATGTCTGCTTGTACTGTATAAACTGAACTACTTAGCAAATATTTGCCTCAGAGACAGTGAAGAGTTGTTTAGCCTTCCGTGTACATTTTTAAAATGGTGATAATTTGAACATTTTCTAATTTATTGAGACACCATAGATTTCTTTTCTCATTTTTTCTGTCATGAGCTTTTCTTATAAATGTGTCCTTTGATATTTTATTTTTGTGTCATGAGATTAACCCGAGATTGTACAATAAGTAACTGCTGCTAAATTAGCCAATCTGAGTCTGTCCCTACTGCTTTCAGCAAGTCAACTTACCAGAGACCAACTTAGAATGTAGACCAGGCCAGCGAGACAGCTCAGTAGGTAAAGGCACTTGCTGCCAAGCCTGGGTTTGATCCTGGAATCCTACACAGTAAAAGGAAAAAAACAGAACCAAAGCTGCCCTCTGCCCTGCCCATTTATGCCCTCCCATACACAAATGCATACACACAATCAATTTATCAATGTAAATTTAAATTTTTAATAATAAAATATGCTAGCCTTATTTCCTTTGCTTATGTAAACTGGAAGAAATCATCAAATTCTGATGAAAATGGCTTTATTAGTTTTTCTTAAGACTACAATATTTCCTGAGGCTTCAGAGGAGGCTCAGTGATTAAGAGCTCTTGCTGCTTTTCCAAAGGACTGAGTTCAATTCCCAGCACCCACATGGTGACTCACAACTGCCATAACTCCAGTTCCCGAGGATCTGTGGGCACCAGGCATGCACATGACATGCAGATGCAGACATGTAGACAACAAGACACTCATATACATTTTAAAAAGCTAGCATATTTTCTAAATTTCTATAGTGATGTTACACTCCAGACTGTTGGAAATAATCACAAGGAGCTTCTTATTAATGCTCATCTCTTTTTTGCTCTAGAGCAAGACTGCAGCATTCTTCATCATTTTCTTTGTAAACAACAGATGTGAAAAGTGAAGCGTTCTTTGAGATTGATAAAGTTATAAAGTTAACAAGAATTGGAAACAACTGAACATGAAAACTGAGAGCAGAATCCTAGAACTTTAAAACCATCTAGGCAACTCTTGCAACCCCAAAACGTCCTTTAATAAATGTGAGGTGTGCACCTGAGTGCCCTGTATGACAGTCTACAGAGGTAGTCTGAAACAAAATGTTGCAACACAAAATTTATCTTTGGAGATAACCCACTCTCAGACTCACATGGTATTCAAGTATGACTAATGTTTCTTTATGTTTCCCTTCCCCATTTTGAAACTCATGTCATCATTCTCTTTAATACTCTATAAACATAAAGAAACATTAGTCATACTTGAATTGCTTTTTGAGTTTCTGGACTTCAAAATAGAACTAGTTTTGTCTCAGAAAGCGTTTTGTAGCCACTTTGTGTGGTGCCTTGTTGGGTTGTTCCCGAGTCCTGTTTGACTATGATTTACAATTCTGTGATGGGATAATTATTTACTTGACTTGTCTGTTATCTTTTGTAAAAACTGCTTCATAATTTATAAGAAGCCATTTGCATGGGAACATGCCTGCCAATGTTTGATTTCCCCACTGGGGAAACAAATAAAATTAAATTCGGTGAAGACTTAAGGATTTTAAACAGTGTGAATTAAATCTTTTCAAAAGAAATTCCCATCAAGTAATTTTTATCTTATTAGGGTGAGGGTAAGAATAATTACCAGGAAAAAAATTAGTGTCTGGAAAGACTGTATCCCCAGACAGGAATTCACTACCAAGAAGTTTAACATCATTAATATTATTTTCATATTTTATTGTGCTACCTTCTAAGATTTCAACAGAAGCTGTGGAGAACATATGTACTGTCATTAACACGAGAAAATGCCTTTGATCAAATGTACGAGGAGATGCTTCAGACCCGACACAGGTGGCCATAGTTCAAGTCTACTCTACTGACTCCTGTCTTGGAAATACAGTGCTCAGGTGATCACCCCTCTGGCTTGCTTGCTAAGCTATTTCCATGTTACTCTTTCCTAAGAACGGCCCGTCCTAACTTCTCAAGTGACTTCACCAAAAGAAAATAAGAACATCAAGGGATAGCACAACAAAGGAGTGTAGGTCCCCATGTGACCATTGGCACAGGGTCAGCTTACTTCTGAGAGAACATTGAGGAGGAAATGACATGTGGAAGAGAGAAAATGGGGTGGCTACCCTTTTACACTAAATATCCCGTAAGAGGGTTTACATGTGAACCAAGGTGTAGTGGTGATTATTTACCAGGCCCTGCTCATCACACTGCCTCTGCTTCTCTCTGTTACTTTACCAGAGATCATTTGCACTCATTTGCACTGACGTCTGAGGTCTACACCACCATTAATAGTCACTATGTATTCGACTAATGTAAGACTGTGATGGAAATTAGAGAACACTTCTAAGTACTACTGGACCGCCACTCCTTAGTTCTTACATTAGCTGTTCTTTCCTGACACATGTCCACTCATTAGAAAGTAAAGGCAGTGCTGTTATAGCAAACTATCTGCAACTGGAGAGAAAATTGCTTGTTCTCTCTGTGATAACCTTATAATTCTTAGAAAAATGCGTATCCACAGAATTAGAGCATTTCAAAGTCCTCTACACTCATCACTCTGGGTTTATTATATTGGCCTTCTATCATCCATGTTCCATAATTTGGTATTTGTGTGTTTCAGAAATGCCTTGAAGACCGCACACATCACTGGAAGCTGTTATGCGGTCGGCCACGCTTTTGTGTATTTTCCCCATGCAGCAGGATTTCAATTTGGAGCCTATTTGATTCAAGCTGGACGGATGACACCGGAAGGCATGTTCACATGAGTTGTGCAAATATTTAAACCCTATACGTGTGTCATGCACACATGTCTAGCTTAGGGAGGAGTTCCATCGAGTTCCCCTGTGGAAAAGGCTTTCTAAAACATTTAAGTGTATGCATACTATGTGTGTTGCTTTATTTTTAATTAACAAGTAACATTTGTGTTTATTTAAAGGGTGAACTGTGATAGTTTTGTTTTGACAGGCGTCTCCATTGTATAATGATGAAGTCAGGTTGTTTCTTGTTGGTGCAGTGTAACGAGAAGAAACCCTGCCTGATTAAACCTGATGCACTAACTTTGAACTATGCACTGTTATGTACTGATGCAATGCAAAGGATCTGTGCTAAACTCCCAAGTAACTTGCTTCCAGGTTTAGTTCACTATAAGGTGGGTTACAGCAGCAAATCCGGTTTCTCAGTGGGGAACATAGAGTTTCCCATTAGGAGATGGCTTTCATCAGTATGAACCCAAGCAGCGCTTATATACACACACGTCTCATCATGAATTGGCCGCTGCAATTTTGCAGCTTCCTCCCAAAGTGGCTTGTGCTCTCAGGGCCTGTTTATACCATGAAGACTTTGTCCACTCGATAAAAACACCTAACTGCTGCAATTGAAAATTTTTTTGAGTGTTTTTTTTCAGCTGCCTGAGTCTAAAATGCCAGAAGTGTTGCTGTTTATAACACAGTTCTCATTGTTAGACACTTACAACTACAAAAAAGCCGTAATTTTTTAAACAAACTCCCTGTGCCCTGCACATTAAACCGAGGCGCAGTCCCTAATGATAGTGACTTTGTTCTGCACCTGGGGTATTCAGGAAGCCCTGGGGCTCCACCTTGATGCTTAGCTTCCCTCAGCTCTTTACCCTCCCTGGAACTCCACCATGGCTGGGACGCAATTGTAATTTGAGGATATGTTCAACCAAAAGAAACGATCAAAACTCATTTGAAGTCATGTGATTTCAGATAACTTTTATTTTCTACTCTCACAGAACATCTTTATTTGTAAACATCCTAGGACATTCTTGGCTAATCACTGGTAAGAAACAATTTTCAAGTCACCAAATCAGCATTCCCAAATCTTACCAGTTAGCAGTAAAGGTGGGTTCACAAGGAACCGCTCCAACAAGTTCCTGTATTGAAAACTGTACCAGAGCTGGGAGGGGTTGGAGGGGAGCACAGCACACCACTGCTGATGGCGCACGCCTTTAATGCCAGCCCTCAGGAGGCAGAGGCAGGTGGATCTCTGTGAGTTTCACATCAGCCTTGTCTAGAAAGTGAATTCCTATATTGAAAAAAGAAACAACAGAAACGTTTAGGGTCCCTGTTCCATTTTCCTCTCTCTTACGTTTTGTGGAGTGCTGTCTACGTAGATCCATAAAAATACAATTAAGGTGTTTGCCTTGAGCTTCATTCTGATTATATAGTTTGACTAGTTTATCAGATTAACAAGAAACAAAACCTAGAATCACGTGGATTAATTTATACAATTCACAGGCCTCATTAAACTAGTCCTTTGCTTTGGTTCTGATGTCATGTGGCCACTCCCAAGATTAACAGTACATTGTCTTCCAAAGTTTGATTACAGGAAACTTAGAAGGTGCTGCCCTCTTGGTGCTCCATCCTCAGCCGCTATACGTGCCCAGAGCACTGCGCTTGTCAGGGTGTCTGATGTTAGCTGCCAGAGCAGACCCACCAAACACAGCAATGGAGGATGGCCTGCCTACACAGCAGACATTTCATCTTTTCCACCTGTTTTTTGTCACTACTCTTTCTTTGCTTTGTGTTATGCTTTGTGATTTTCTTTCATCTTTAAAATTAACCCTTATGTCACATTTCATATCCCATCACACACAATCATAATACATAAAAATACATAATAATAGCATACTTTTCCCCAAAAAAGCAAGAGTATATTTTCAAGGTTTACAATTACAGGACAGATAAGCAGTCTCTTCCAGAAGGGGCAGCGTGCTTAGAAAAGGCGGTGAGCAGAGGGTCCCACAGCACAATCTCCTCACGCATTCATAGTTTGTCGTGCTGGTGCTGAGGAGAAAGGTCTCTTTACATAAAGGGAGCATGCATGCCTTGTGACGAAAGCTAACTAGTGTCATCTCCATAATTGGAGAGCGTTCCCCAAAATGAGCATTTAAACAAGGTCGTATCACCTTCATTCTGTTGGCTTTGGTTAGGAGTTAAGGATTGCCCTCACACTCAGGAGGTGGTAAAACATTCCCTCTCTGTTAGCTTGGCAATGCACCATTTCACTATTAACGCACAGTTTGGAGAACACAAAATAAGCTTAGTTTTTCATGTCTCATTCTGCATTAATAAAGTAGGTATCCTACCAAAAGCTTGTAATCCTAGCACTTGGGAAACTAAGGCAGGGGGACTGCAGCTTGGAGGCCAACCTAGGTATGTAGTGAGGTCTAGACCAGCAAAAACTACATAACAAGACTCTATCCAAAAGCAAAAATGAAAGGTTTGACAATAATGCCACTAGGCAAGGTCCTAGCTGAGGTGCCTTCAGAATACCAACCAGATACCATGGTGACCACAGAGGTTTCTGGACCTTCCCACCACAACCACTTCAGAATTTCCTCTGTGAGTCACCTCCATCTTTGAGGTATGCATAAACAATGCTAAGCACTGCATCTAGGCAAGAGGGAAAGAAATCGGTACAGGACGTTACAGTAATAATGGCTCTGTGTGTGCGTATGTGTGTGTGTGAGTGGGTGTGTGGGTGTGCGTATGTGTGTGTGTATGTGATGTGTGTGTATGTGTGTATGTGATGTGTGTATGTGTACATGTGCGTGTGTATGTGATGTGTGTGTATGTGTGTATGTGATGTGTGTATATGTGTGTGTATGTGATGTATGTGTGTATGTGATGTATGTGTATGTATGTGTGTGTAGTTGATGTGTGTATGTGTGAGTATGTGTGTAAGTGTGTGTATGTGTGTGTATGTGATGTGTATATGTGCATATGTGATGTGTGTATATGTGTGTATATGTGTGTATGTATGTGTATGTGTGTGTGTGATATGTGTATATGTGTGTATGTATGTGTATGCGTGTGTGATATGTGTATATGTGTGTATACATGTGCATGTGTGTATGTGCGTGTATGTGATGTGTATGTGTGTGTATGTTTGTGTATGTATGTGTCTGTGATGTGTATGTGTGTGTATGTTTGTGTATGTATGTGTCTGTGTGTGTGTGTGTGTGTTGCTTGTTCTTCAAAATCTAAAGACAGTTCTCAACAGAAAGTTACTCTGGACTTTCAGTATTAAATGTAGCAATCAGAACTATAACAACATAGCTTCATTTTCAGTGATATTAATGACTAACTGAAACTTTGAAACACCAAGGGCTAGAAAGAAGTTCATTAGGCTTTTACGTCCATCTTTTCTTACAAGAACTGATCCTTGAAATTGAGATGGTCACTTTAGTTAGCAAACAGAAAAGATTTTTTTGCGTGGGCCCTGCATGACAGTGGCCTACTTCTGCTGGCTCCTCCCTAGGAGGTATCTGGAAGAAAAGGCACATAAAGCATTTAGATTAACAGAGAAGGCATCTACAGAGATAAAACAGAGGGGACATCTAGGTCTGTGCAGCTCCTAGGACACGGATGAAGACTAACGAATCAAAGCATGAGACAGACACCACGCTCACCACCAGAAAGCACGGTATGTGACAGAAACACAGACAGCAGAAAGCTTGCTCACATGGAAATCTGTGTGATCCTAGGCCAGCTGCATCATTTTCACAGGCTGGAGTTTCCTAATTTGTGAACTGGGAAGTTCCTGGCCTAATTACCTCCTAGGTGGTCAGATCGTATCATGAACTTGAAAACATTCCCAAGCTCCTGAATACAAAGCCAATCTCAGTGGCTTGCAGTGTTCCTCCATCCATCACGGAAAGGATGTGGAGCGGGAGGAGAGGACCACTGGGTTTAATCTGGACAAAGGGGGAAAGAGGATGAGCCAGAGAAAATCACTTAATGAGCACTTCCAGGATGACAGCTACTGTACTTTCCACCTGAGGAGGACCTTACACTCCAGGGTATCGACGGCTATGATGACAGCTGCTGTGTACTGGATTTCTCCAAAAGAATGGAAGCTCATTTTCCGGCAAAGTGTCCCAGTGTTATTCTTTGCTATCACTTTAAGAACTAACCACGCCCACCTCAGCCACTTCGGCCCTCCCTCGCCGCCATCTTGCTCTCTCTCTTCTGTCTCTCTCTCTCTCTCTCTCTCTCTCTCTCTCTCTCTCTGGTGCGTGTGTGTGTGTGTGTGTGTGTGTGTGTGTGTGCGCGCGCGCGCGTGCACGCGCGTGTGTGTATGTGTATGTCTTTGTTTTATGTTTGTCTATATCTCCCTTTTTTAAGTAATAAATGTCAGCTTTATATATAGCCTTATGTCCATTTACTCTGCCGTTCACCGTATCCAGCCGCCTGACTCTGCCGCTCGCCCAGGGACCCTGTACTGCTCCGGCGGCAGCTTCTGCCTGGCTTGCAGGCCGCCCGGGCCACCATATCATCATTATTTTTAAAAAGAACAATACCCAGTAGTTCTTCATTCCATAAAAGGAACAGCACACAAATTCATTTGTTAACACTTACAGGTATCATATATCATTTATGCATTTAATTCTAATAACCACCATGCAACATATAGACATGCTTGGCTCCTGTTTACAGTTAGGAGTCAGATTCAAAAAGAAACCCAGTCACACCTGCAAGGCAAATAAGCATGATATAGATGTGATACTGGGAACCCAGCTCAGGGAACACTAAACCTCCTCCCAGGATTGGGTAATCACTCAAGGCTCACAAACTGGAGCTGGGCTCAAGAGAGACACAATGATTAAGCTTAGCAAATATGCTGGTCACTCCTATTTGGATCCTTTTTGTTAAAACTGGAACCACTCATGTCTGTGTTTTAGGGGATTGTTTCTATTGAAAGAAACTTTGTAAAGTCTGTTTTTATCTTAATAGTTACAATAAGTATTGGTATTTCACAGTGTTCATACGTGCTCAGAAGGGCCAGTGGATGAGAAGATGCAGTGCTGTTCATGTTAGAGAACTAAGGTAGAAGGGGATAGACCCTCAGAGCGCTAGGCTGCTCCTTCCTTACTCCCTCCTCACCTTTCTCCCTCATGCTAGCCAACCCAAAAGGTTTCAGGATGGATTGAGTGTCATATGCTATACTAAGATTTCTTCCCAATGAATTCCCAGGCATATGAAAACTATGAAGCCAAAGAATATATGAAAGTCTCATGATGAACGTCATAACTTTGTATGCCAGTGAAAAACTAATTTTAAAAGAGAAAGCTGGCTGAGAAGGAAGCTCCTTGTGTAGAGTGCTCTCCCAGCTACAAAGTAAATTCAGTTCAAATCCAGCCTGGGCTACATAAACTGAAACCTTATTTGAGTCTTATTTAATTCCTTCTTTACATATTTGTGTGTTAAGAGTTTGTTCAATGGAAAAACTCATTTGTGACCTGGAGTATGCTTCTTGCTTAATGGAATTAATGTACTTTAGTAACTAAATATGTTAATATATCTCACCATTCTTGTGGCTCACCTTTGTGTGAGCTAAGCCCAGATTGAAAGCGCATTTCTCTGGGTAGCCCTCCATCCAGATACCCCAGGAGTTTGAGCAGGATTTGAAGGAGCTTGTTTGACTGTACTGTGGAGTTCAGCCCTGGTTGCTGTACATTAAATGCCTGTTGAGTCGCAGAGGCTTGCAGTTTAGCTCACTGCTGGATGAGTCAGTCTAGGCAAATCCAGTAACAACCCAGATGTTTAGGCATGTGCACACTGACCTAGCTTTATACAGAACACAAATGGGGAAATCAAGAAGATGGATGTCCTGACTCAGCCCTTGTCACCCATCACCACAGAATTCACAGTTTCCATCTAGGTACCTCAGGATAAGGCCCGCCAGTCCTAGCTCTCCTCATACAATGAGAAAGCACAGTTTTGGGGCTTTCTATCTTGGGACTTCTTGCTCTATTCGCCTTTCTTCAGGTCATTGCCCTTCCCCATGAACAAAGCCTTAAAAGAAACCCCTTCTGAGTAGGAACACTTGCATTTTAAAGAGGGACCTGGCATGCACACAAACTTCAGGGTATCTGTGTCTAATGCTTAAAATGACTCAAAGAGTGGAAACTTTGGGATGGATGGGTATTAGGATGTTGTGATCCAGCTGCCCTCACTCCCCCTGACCAGCAGGGGAACTTCCTTGTGGTCTGTAATTGACAAGGATGTTTGTGCTCTTTCTGGCCAGTGGGCCTCCACTGAAGGAGTAGAGGTATAAAAGGTTGCTGGGCAAAATAAAGGTTGCTGTTCTTCCACCTGAAAAGAAGCTTCTGTGTCTCAATCCTGGCACACACACACACACACCCCACCCCTCCCCTGGCAGTCTTGGCTATCCAGGCTGCCCTGGCCAGCTGGTCACAGTAAGTGGAGGTTCCAACCAAGATCTGGAAAGTGGGGATAGTGAATGGGGTCGCTCCAGCTGCTGGCTAAATCGAGGAGCGTATTGGGGAAAGTAAAGTGTTTTTATTTTTCATCCCCAGAGATAACTCTGAGGGACATCCTCCAAAAGATAAGCAAGTATAAAGAGGCGGGAGGGTGAATTGAAAGGTCTTAAAAAGCAACAAGGCACGGAAGTAACAAGGAAGACAGCCAAAGATTTTGTACAGGAGGGGGTTTAAATGTTCCAGACTGGGAACAAGCCAAGTCAGATTAAAAGGAGTATGTGTGTCTTCATCCCCAGAGATGCTCTGAGGGATACCCCCAGGAAGATTGGCCAGTAGGGAAGTAATAAAAAGGAGGCAGGAAGGTGAATTGGGGGCCTCAAAAGATAGAATGTGTAGAGATATATTATTGTGTTGATTGTGTTGTCTTTTGTGTTCTGAACTGAAGAAAGACATTTGATCTGGGAACTGCTAACAAAGGTATTTTTACTTTAAAATATGGGACTAAGGATTTGATGCTTTGGAAAAGAGGTTCTGCTTTTATCTCCACAGAGGATGAGAACCTGTGGATTCATTGCAAATTTATGTGGTTTGAATCACTGAGACCCCCTAAAATGTTGATGTAATGTTGATGCTCCCAAGAATGCAGCACCCCTGCTCAGCAGGAAGTAGGTTGAGGACGCCCAAATTCCCTAAAAGATTGTTAAAGTGGGGCCTCTTCAATGGTTCCAGAGCAGGAGCAGCAAGCCTGCTTCCCTGAGTTCTGCTCCACTTCATGCAGCAGTTTGGATCCAGAGTGAGTGCAGCTGGGGCCAGAAGGCAGCTGGAGCAGAGCTTTGCCACCACAGCTACTGCTGCGGGACCTGCTCTCTCACAGACTGTGTGGATGGCTGAGACTGTCAACCAGCTTGCTGAAAAGAGTCAGCAATGCTTTGGACATATTCAATTGGGCATATTGACCTTGAACCAACAAGTAGCTCTGGTTCAGGAGCAAGTGGACTGTCTTTGGACTTTTCAACAGTTAATCATGTTATGTGTGTTACTCATGGTACTGTATTGCATGTTTCTACTACTGTTATGGAACTCAACTGTCATATGAGAGGGGTTTGGAATACTGGTTTGTTAATTTTACCACCCAGTTAGTGCATGCTAGATGGTTGCAGTGCTGGTCTGGCTCATTGGCACTGTCAGTCCTGGGGATACTTGATTTAGGGCTACGTGTCTGGGTAGCCACGGATGGGCAATACTTTGGGGGCAGGATGTCACCTAAGACAAAAAATATTAGAGGACTATTCCCCGTGACAGGCAATGTATTATAAAATAAAATGGGGGGAGTTGCAGTGATCCAGCTGCCCTCACTCCCCTGGTCCTTGTGGTCTCAATCCCAGCACCCGCCCTGCGCTGGCTGCAGCATTAGGGCACATAGTAAAACCTCACTGTCGCGGGTTTTAGTAAGAATGACACACATAGGCTCATATATTTGAGTGCTTTGTCACCAGGGAGTGGGACTTTTGGAAAGGTTAGGATAAAGAAGTGTGACTTTGTTGGAGGAAGTGTGTCACTTGGGATGGGCCTGAGGACCAGGACGGGGAACTCTTAGCTACTTTTCCAGTACCGAGTCTGCCTGTGTGCCACCATGCTTCCTACCTTGATAATAATGCACTAAGCCTCTGAAACTGCAAGCAAATCTCTAATAACAGTTGCCTCGAAGCTGGGCATAGTGGTGCACACCTTTAATCCCAAGCAGAGACAGACAGATCTCTGTGAGTTCAAGGCCAGCATGGTCTCCAAAGCAAGTTCCAGGACAGTGAAGACTATACAGAGAAGCCCTGTCTGCCTTGATCATGGTGTCTCTTTACAGCATAGAACAGTGACTAAGACACACAGCAGGCTCTTTCCCAGCCCCTGGACATTTAGGGCCCGTGTCAGCCCACGCCTAATGCCGCTCTCTTCCCACCTCACTGATTAAATCCTGACTTCAGTTTGATCCAGCCTGACTCTTGCTTGCACTTAAAACAAATACACCTGGACACAGAGATACACACCTTTAACCCCAGTGCTCAGGAGACTGAGGCAGGAGGATCCCTATTTCAAGATGGTCCTGGCCTGTATAGTAATTTCAAGAATACCTTAAGTGACATAAACTACATTGTATCAAATAACAACAAACAAGCATGTTTAACATGCTACCTAAATTGGACAAGACTTCTTTTTATACTTTATATTTAGTTTCTGAATGGCATTATGAATCATAAAAATTTCTTTAAAGAGTAAAAAATTTGTTATCTCAGAACTATTGACAACGGTAGTTTTAACAACAGATATTCTGTAAACTGGTTGTTTTATATTTCCTGTTTCTTTGTACAACTAACAGGATTTGGGGTCTAAGGTCAAGGTCACTAAAGAGATTACAGTCCCCACCCTTCGGGAGGTCACACAGTAGAAAGGATGACATTCACAAGGAATCCAGACATACTTGGTTTTTTTAGTTTGGTTTTTGACACAAGGTGTCTCTCTATATAGTCCTTGCTGGCCAAGAGCTTGCTATGTAGACCAGCCTGGCCTTGAACTCACAAAGATGTGCTTGTCTCTGCCTCTTGAGTGCTAGGATTAAAGGAGGCACCACCCTGCCAGACCTCCAAGACACTGTCTGTGATGGATCTGAGCAAGCAAGATGCCCTTTGACCTGGTGTTTAAATGCTGGTGAACTGTGTCCAGTTGTAACTGAATTCTTCTTTATTTTTACATCTAAAATGAAACAGAAAAATAGTAGGCAAACATTTAGCCACATGTTAGATCACAACTTCAAGACCGTCAGCCTGTTTGCCAGATTCTAATGAACACGTGTTGAAACAGATCAGAAACTACAACAAACACCAAGATCACACAGCTCCTCCTTCAGGCTTGATTGACGTGTCCTTTGGTCACTGCAGAAAGAGGAAGAAAGCGCAAGTCCTCACTCTGCTCTCTAAACAGTTTATTTCTAAGGCAGAGGATTAATCTAAGCCCAGCTTCAGTCACCCGCTGTAACGACATTGCATGCAAACAATGAAGGGCCCTGCCTCAGACCTCACCACCAGGGACACATTCTCCCTATTGTCAGTGCATTCTCTGCCAAATCTCCCAACAGGCACACCTTGTACCAAAGTGGCTGAAAGGTTTCACGCTCACTGATTGGAATCTCTGATAACTAATCAAAAGAGGAATTTTTGAGATAACTCAAATTCAAAGGTTGTTTTGCCCTACAGAGCATCTGGCAGAGAGCTCAAAAAGAGAAGCCATTGTTGAGCCCTGCGCCAGGACTGCTATCTGCCTTCTGTCCACTCTTCCTTTTCTCCCAAGTTCTGCTGGTGTCTTATCTTTCAACAGAGTTCTTACTGCCTTTGCTTATGGTGCTATAGCCATTGGAGAAACACTTGTTTAGACTCCAGAATATTCCAAAGCCAAAGTTGGAGCTGCACATCTGTTTTCTTTGCTGAAAAAGAAACCAACTATAGACAGCTGCAGTCAAAGTGGGGAAAAACTAGTAAGCGCAACTAGAGTTTACACGTTCACTTTCTTAGTATGAGTATTGCTGACATAGAATATTCTAAGATCAGGCACCAGAAGTTTGGATGGACAAATTTTAACACTATAAAGGAGAAAGAATGCCCCTAGAATGGATTCTCATCTCTACTCCTAAAATATATTTTATGTTAAAAGAAATCTTTAGCTTATATGCCCTATGCCATAGAATGTTCTATAAGAGATTGATTACTAAGTCTAAATATATTTAGATAGCAATGGTTTTGGTCTTGCATGTCTTGCATGAATGTTTGGCTAAATTTCAATTTTTTCTCTATTCACATCTGCAAGATAATAATACTTTTATGTCAAACAAAGGTTTTTATGAGAAATATATTTACATAAGATGGAAAAAAGCAACAGAATATTTATTAAATTATACACATAAGTTTAACTGCAAACATCAAGAGACCATGAGTACTGAAAAAGAAGCATCAGAGAGCAAAATACTTTGAAGATACATTTTTTTTTTTTTTGGAGGCTAGGTGGGTGTTTGAGACAGGGTTTTTCTGTGTAGCTTTGGAGCCTGTCCTGGAACTCGCTCTGTAGACCAGGCTGACTCCCAACTCACAGAGATCTGCCTGCATCTGCCTCCTGAGTGCTGGGACTAAAGAGGTGTACCACCACCCACACGACATTAAGCATGTTTTGTGTATATTTGTTTGCTTGTGTTTGAGACAGGACCTCACACCTGTTGTGCGAGCTGCCTCACACTCATCATGTAACTAAAAGGGATCTTTGAGCTTCTGATCCTCCCAAGCTCACCTTCCAAATACTAGGGTCACCAAAATGTGCCACTGCACCGAGCACACACAGGACTGAGGACCTAACCCAGGGCTTCGTGAATGCTAAGCACTAAGAAAGGGAAGACTGTGGCATTTGTTGCGAGCAGCGGCTGTGGAAAAAGCGCTTGTGTTCAGCTACTGCAGAGATTTTATGACCCCATGAAAGGACAAGTGGTAAGATGGACTTAAGTCACCTAAGCTGGGGATCGTGATAAACCCTTAAATGTGCAGGGATGCCTAGGTTTACCCAGTAGACAAACACAAAACCTAAAAACAAACAAAAAACTTCTGCTCTGCTCTTGCCAAAGAAAACATCAGGTTCGAGCAAAAGTAGTGGGGAAGGATTTTGAAATTAAGTACAAACAACTCAAAGTGTCTTGAGCTTTCCTGACAACCATGATTTTTACCTTAGAAGCTGTGGAATTCTTTTGAATATGGGTGTGAGGGAAAGCCAGGTTTTCTTCCTACAGTATCACTGCTCCCTACCCCTTCTGGCTTAAGACTGATAATGGTTTCCACCTCTTGGCTGATCTCACTTGCCTTGACTCCCCCACCTATCAAGACCTGTTGCAAGGCTAAGACATTTTCCAATTAATCTCCACTAAACTGAGAGTCCTGATCTCAAAAAGAAACAATTTCCTTTCTCCTTTGAACCTGAAGATTACATTCTTTACCTTGTTTGTATCTACTGGATCTTGTGTGTCCATGTTCGGGTCCCTGTTACTGTTTCTCACCACTATTGCACCTCCTCCACCCTCCTCCCCTTCTCGGACACACAAAGCTTGTATCTTACCCATTAGAGAACTATAGTTCTCTAAAAGTTGAGGCTGTCATGGTAGCCCTATTCTCCTATAATCTGCGGTTTTCCCCATTATAGATTATCAACAAACATTTGGAAAGCAGAGCTGTACATAAAACTCCCTTGAACTAGGTGGCATCTGCCTATTTTCAGGTAGTATATCCATTCTCCCTGCTAGAAACCACTGGAGGATGATTCCCCACTAAGCAAAAGCAAGATTTAACACCATAAAAGAAAGTCCTTCACTGTCTGGCCCCTACCTCCTTTTCCAAACTTCCTCTCCTCATGCCTCTCACTGAGTGCTGAATATCCATCTCCCCAACGTCTGTCTTCCTTCTCACTGTGGTTCCCCTCACCTACTCATTACGTCTCAAGTGCTGTCTGTGTCTCACCTCAAAGTCCTTTCCCACGGCCATCCTGAACATCTTCTGCCTTAGTCTATCTCTGTCCTATTACCCTGTCTTCATGTCACCTTTGCTCTTTGAGTTGTGGGTGTAATTAGTGGCTGTCGGCTACAATATATACTATCATGGTCACAGGGAGTTTTGCACTGTTTTACTTCCTCAGTGCTCAGGTCCTGGGCACACAGCAGGCATGTTCATCAAACAGCTGACTGTGGGAATGTGCCCATCTCTACAGGTGGACTTCCTTATCAATGTGTACCAACTCTCTTGTTGGAAATCAGTGATGGAGTGTTGCTACACCCAAGGGGGAGATTAATCGTTTTACAGTTTACTTCAAGACAGAGGACTAGATAAACTCCGATCCCTGTGGTCATTTCTAGAAATGTATGTTTGGAATCAACATACACTTTCAATGAGCTGGCAGCTGAGCGCTCCTGGCCAGTGGGTGATTTATGAACCGTACTTTGGCAATGTACACTTCACAAAATAGCTTGAATTCCTAGGCTTCTAGTTATTATGTGTTTATGTGTGAATACCACGAAGTGTAATATGACACGGCTGCTGGATCTTACCAAACTAGTCTCCAATCTCCTCCTGCAGCTGCTTGATGGTGTTGATGTATGGGAACTGAACATGCAGTGGCTGCGTTCCCAGACAGCCGTCGTCTCCCAGGAGACTGTGCTCTTCAAGTGCAGCATCGCTGAGAACATCGCCGACAGTGATAGCAGCCACATGGTGCCCTTAGAGGAGATCAAAGAGGTCGCAGATACAGCCAACATCCATTCTTTCATAGAAGGCCTCCCCAGGGTAAGAAAAGAGATGAAATCCTGAGCCACAAAGCTGCTGAGTACTGATTTGATATATTCTCACACAAGGTTAGATGTAAAAAGCAAACCTGACAATTTTATGTATTTTTTTTCCAAGTCTGATAGCCATACATATTAATGTACTGGGCTTTTCCCCGGTGCTTTAATTCGGAGGTTCCCTTTGTCGGAACTTGAGCTGGAGCTCACTTGGTTCCCTGCCTGCCTAGGATGCAGTGTCCTGGGTTCAGTCTCCAGTACACATAAATTGGGAATGCTGGCAAGGCTTCTAATCCCAGCACTCAAGAGGTGATAAGGGAGGGTCAGAAGCTCAGGACAATCATTGGCAACATAGAGACTTCAAGGCCAGCCTGCTTGTGGGAGACTCTATCTCAATAACGAAAATGAAAGAAAGGAAAGGAAGGGAGGGAGAGACTAGAAAGGAAGTCTAACAGCCAAGGCTTGCTCCTTGGGATCAGGTCAGGGGTGCCGGAAGAACCTAGAATAGATTTCAGCTGCGATTGGGACTCACCTTTTCAAGAGTAGAGAAATCTGAACTGCTTAGATGTCTGTCTCCCACAGTTGCTAAAGTGTTTTCATTGTTAATGGCATGTTCCTGAAACAGAAATACAACTCTCAAGTTGGACTGAGAGGAGTGCAGATTTCCTGTGGCCGGAAACAAAGACTTGCTATTGCAAGGGCTCTTCTCCGAAACCCAAAAATTTTACTGCTGGATGAAGCCACTTCAACCCTTGACAATGAGAGCGAGAAGGTAACACCTTCTTTTGTTTTTTCATGTCAAATGGGAGTGGGCAGTATCATGAAGACCAAGGTCAGTTTGGGTAAATGAAGTCCAGAGATGGCATAGAGAGGGTTTGAAGCCAGGCAACCAGGTTCTGAATCTGTCTCCTATCAAAATGAGTTTAAATCTGAATGTCCAGTCAAGAAAATTCAAGGAAGGGCTGGAGAGATGGCTCAGTGGTTAAGAGCATTGCCTGCTCTTCCAAAGGTCCTGAGTTCAATTCCTGGCAACCACATGGTGGCTCACAACCATCTGTAATGAGGTCTGGTGCCCTCTTCTGGCCTGCAGACATACATGTAGATAGAATATTGTATACATAATAAATAAATAAACAGTTTAAAAAAAAAAAAAGAAAATTCAAGGAAGATGTCCTCTTCCAGTTTGTTCTCCTCCATTGGTTCAGTCCATTGTTATGGTGGGCCATGGCAGCATACAGGCAGACATGGTGCTGAAGAAGGAGCTGAGTTTTACATCTTGAAAAGCAGACAACTGGAAGTGGTCTGTCTTTTTGAGTGTGGCTTGAGCATACATGAGACCTCAAAGCCCACCTTCAGTGATGCACTTCCTCCAACAAGAGCACACCTACTCCAACAAGGCCACACTTCCTAATGGTGCTGCTAGGCTTCCTGAGCCTCCTTATTCCCCAGGGGAAGGTGAGTGTGTTATCTGCCCATTCCTGCAGCCCCACAACACAGGACAATCAGATGCAATAGGGGGTCGAGTCAAAGCAGGAATTCAGTTTATTACTGTGAACGTCTGCTAATAAAGGTTAAGTGACACTCTGTGCTGTAAGGGCACCTCCAGCCAATCAGAGGCAGCCACATCCTCTCCCGGGCTGGAGGAACGGCTACCAATTTTTTGCTGTCTCATCCTCACTCAAACTCAAGCCAGGCTTTTCTCTGTCCTACAAGCCTCCGAGGTACAGGCCCTGAGATAATTTTGATCCAACATAGCGCCACTCCCTTAGGAGCCCATTTTCTTTCAAACAACCACAGTTGGACATTTCCTCTGGGAATAAGCAAGTACAGCAAAAAATATCATTAGATTACCTTAATGGCTGACCTTAGGCCTACTTATGAACATCTGCTCCAAACTGGCAGTCACTTGGTCCTTTTCTTTTCCAGGTGGTTCAGCATGCCCTTGAAAAAGCCCAGAGAGGGAGGACCTGCCTCGTGGTGGCTCACAGACTCACTCTCCACAGTACAAAATGCAGATCTGATAGAAGTTCTACAAAATGGAAAAATCAAAGAGCAGGGAATGCATCAGGAACTCCTGAGAAACAGAGACACATACTTTGGATTAGCAGCTGCACAGTGTATGCACTGAAGCTACCAGCCTTGCATGCATTTTGATCTTTATGTAATGTAAAGAGTACTTAGTAATTTCTTGGCCTGCTCTGGTCTCTTACTGCAAATGTCAATATCTAGAATCCTGATACTCAAGTACATGTCTGTTCTGTTCAGGTGTCTTTCCTTCAGATTTTAAGAAGCAAATCAGGGAGGTTGGAGAGATGGCTCAGTGGTTTAGAGCCCTGGCTGTTCTTCTGGAGGAAGTTGATCCTGGGGGTTGATTCCCAGCCTTCACATGATGGCTCACAAGCATCGTCACTTCAGTTCCAGAGGATCCACTCGACTCTTCTGGCCTGTGTGGGCACCAGACATGCGTGTGAGGCACATCCACATGTGCAGGCAAAACACTATATACATAAAATAAAATTTAAAATTAGAAAAAAGACAGACTATGAGTTTACAAACTTTACCTGGAAAAAGTGCCTGTATCTCTTATTTCATAAAAATATCCTAACACATTTTCTTGTAAACAATTTTATGCAAAATATGGGCATTTCTGTATCAAAGTTTTGTGATGAAATTAGAGAGAACACCGTCTAGTTGAAAAACTTCAGCTGAAAGATAGGGTGCGGTCCTGGGGACTACTGCATCTTTCGTCGGGGAGACTGAGCTCTGTAGCACAGAGCACACTATTTGTGTCTCCCTTTGCTCTGCACTGGCTGAACTTCTCTAAGTGCCCTCTCAATAAATAGACAGTTTCTAAAATTCTGTAACAGCCCCTCAGTGGGCAGGGGTGGGGAATTCGAGAACTGTATAGTCCCAGGTAGTACGGACTTCATACAGTCCTTCCTAAAGATTCCATTCCAAACTTTGGGTGTTGGCTTACTGAAGTGTGAATACTTACTTAAAATAAAAGGTACTTCTACTGTGGGTGAGAAGTCAAAATGCTTTTCTGTATTGTCATCAAACAAGTTGTTTAAATCTGTATGTACTTAATAGTATGTAGTATATGATTTATAAATTCTACAGAAATGGCAATATCAGTTAACTGAGTCACGTTTTCCACTTAAATACATATGGACATCTTTACTTCCTTTCTTGCTAAAGGTTTTTAGGACATATTAGTTACATGTAGTAATGGATTTCGTCACGACATTTCCGGACCCGGATGCTCTTTGGTCCCATTCACTCCCTGATGCCCTTTATACTGAACCCCTTGCTCTTCCAAAACAGCTCCCTCTCACTTTCATGTCCTTTTGTGTGTTACACCACGGGTGTAATAAGGGCTGTCTGCAGGAACATGGGGAAACGGATTCCTTACAAGAGTATGGACAATTTTCCCACTGACAAAAATATCACATGCATGCACAAGTATACACACACATGCACGTACATGCACGCGCACACACACACACACACACACACACACGCATATACTCAGCAACCACTAACTGCCTATAAACCCTCAGAGAGCAGGAGTGCCTTGTGAGACCCTCTCTCTCCAGTGACAGGATGTTGTTAGCACAGTTTTGTGCAACTCGCATGCAGATAGTAAAAGCTCCTGATGGTTCAAATGTGCCAGGACCACAAGAACGGGGGGGAAAATTTAAAACCAGACTAAGGAATTGTGGTAGTTTGAATGCAATTGGCCCCCATAACGTTATAGGGAGTGGCACTATTAGGAGGTGTGGCTTGGCTGGGCTAGGTAGGGTCTTGTTGGAGGAAGTGTGACAGACACTGTGGCGGTGGCTGTGAGGTTTCCTATGCTCAAGATACCACCTAGTCGGTGACTCAGTCAACTTCCTATTGCCTGCAAGTTATAAGACTCAGCTACTGCTCCAGTGGTGCAACACCACGGCAGCCTGCACGCAGCCATGCTCCCATCAAGACGGTAGTGGACTGAGCCTCTGAAACTGCAAGTTCTTTCTAAGAACTGCCATGAAGTACAACCACTCCCCAAACCTAGGGGAGGTGCTGTGTGTGCTGCATCTGTTGTTTCAAGTCCTTTGGAGTCTATAAGACGGTGAGTCTGAGAAACCTGATGCTGAGCCTGACACTGTTAGATCCTGGTTTTGATCTGGGCTGACTGGAATTGTGCCCTTGCTCTTTCTCTTGAAGAGAAAGTATTTAGCTTGTTTTTTTAATTTTTTTTTTTTTTACAATCTTTATTTTACAGTTCACAGTTAAAAGACTTTAGAATTTTAGAGAGACTTTGGGCATTTAAAAAGACTTAAAGACTAGGATTTTAATGTTTGGAATGTGTTTTATATTGGGGTCTTGATATTTTTATGAAATCCTAGAGTGAACAAGAAAGGAAAGGTTATAGTTGAATAGTGATGTATTTGTGTATCAGGTTGATAATGGGTCACTTGTGCAGGTTAGTTTTCTGACAACTTGACATAAGCTAGAGTCCTTTTTGAAGAGGGAGCTTTGACTGAGAAAATGCCCCTATCAGGATGGCCTGTGGACAAGGTTGGGTGTAGGCTGCTGTCTTGGTTGGCGGTCCTGAATTGTAAAAAAAAAAAAAAAAAACTCTAGGTCAAGCACACCTTGAGGACAACTCAGTAAGCAGTGCTCCTCCACAGCCTCAGTGACTTCTATCTTGACTTCCCTAGTGATGCACTGTGATGTAGAAGTGCAACCTGAAACAATTCCTTTCCCCTGTCCTCTCAAGTCTCTTTTTGTCATGGTGTTTTATCACAGCAATAGAACAGTAACTAAAATAGGCATATTTCCTAATCATAAGGATTTGTGACCCGAGAAAGACTGATTTCTGCCAGACAGCCTCTCACTTATTTAGACTCGTCTTAACCCAAGTTTGTCTTCAGCTATTTGCTTCTCCTTTCCCTCTGGGATTGGATATCGTTATGAAATAAGAGACATAAAGATGAAACATGGGTAACACTGAAAAAAACAAGAAAGCCCTAAGTTCAGCATGGAAGGTGTCAGAGAGGTTAAGATACACTTCAGAACATCTAGAGATGTGGGTCACAGCAGCTGCCTGTCATGGCCACACCGTACCTTCCTTCTCAGGGGAGAAACACCATGAGAGTACCAAGGGACAAGAATGACCTGAAAAGAATAAACAAGGCACAGGTGTCAGTGAAAGAAAAGATGTAACACTGTCACACCATTTTATAACTAAGCCAGCCAGTGAGCCCTACCACCTCTTACTCAAATTGTACTGTGACTTCCTGCTGTCTCTACTTAGGCCAAAGCAAACGAACTGACTTTCTACCACTGAATATTCCTGTTTCCCATGGATCATAGAGATGTCATATGACCACATGAAATTTGTACCATATTAACATCAACACGCGTATTCATTTTTTGTTTGAACTTTTGTTCCAAAAGGATTTGTGAAGTGGCACTATAGGCTGGTGAGAAAATTTACCCATAGGAAACAGTTAAGGGACTTAAGGGACTAACTTACTTTTCCATTGTGGTGATAAAATGCCATGACCAAGGAAACTTATAAAAGAAATAAACAAATAACAACAACAAAGCAACATTTAATTGTTCCACAATGGCACAATGAAGGTGTGGAGGCAGAAACAACTGAGAACTCACACCCTGAGCAGAGAGAGAGCACAGTGGCAATGGCATGAGTCTTTGGAAATCTCACAGTGCACCCCAATGACACACCTCCTCTAACAAGGCCACCACTCCTGATGCTTCCCAAACAGCTTCACCAACTGGGAACCAAGTATCAAATATATGAGTCTATAGGGGGCAGTCTCATGCAACCGCCACAGGGAAGAAATAGAAAGTTTGAAGTGGAAATATAGGGGTGAAAAATATGATGGTGTTGTGGCTTTTAAACCTAATCTTCCTATCAGTAATAATTATAGAAACTTAAAAGTTCACTTTAAAACCATAAGTGTACAGGCTGGAGAGATGGCTCAGAGGTTAAGAGCACTGGCTGCTGCTCTTCCAAGATCCTGAGTTCAATTCTCAGCAATGACATGGTGGCTTTCAACTGTGTAGTAAGATCAGATACCCTCTTCTGATATGCAGCTGTCCATGCAGGCAGTGTAAAAGTATAAATAATTTATTAAATAAATTAATTAATTTTTAAAAAACCACAAATGTACATGGCTAAGAAATCCCTTCTGCACAATTGATAGTCAAGAAGAAATTCTAGGAAAGGGTTGATGTTTGTTAAATTACCAAAATGTTGTAGACAACTGTGAAGCAAAGACTTGGAGAAATGAAGCAAAAGGAAAGGAGTGGGGCTATAGGACATTTCTCAGACACTAAATAATGTAATACACTCTAGCAATCTGATTAGGAACAGAAGAAAGACATATTTCATCATCAAATTCTCAGAAAATCCTAAATAAGAAAAGAATGTAAATTCTTAGTCCCCAAGCTTTAGTTTAAGCAAAAATTTGACCGTACCAGTTTCATAAATTCTTTTAGTCTTCAGAATTCTTTTTCCCTTTTTCAAGACAGGGTTTCTTTGTGTAACTTTGGCTGTCCTGGAACTCATTCTGTAGACCAGGCTCGCCTCAAACTCACCAAGATCCACCTGCTTCTGCCTCTCAAGTGCTGGGATTAAAGGCATGTGCCACCAAGACCCAGAACTATTCAGTTTCTTAGAGATGTGTACCATAAGAAGGCAGATTAATGAACAACAAATTAGTCTAAAAGAAGAACCTGACCATACAAGACAGATGGAATTCCAGGAACATTAGGCATGGAAACTCAGAAAGACCGGTGTGATTTCCAAACATGGGACAGAACAAATCTTCAAAGAAACAGAGAAGAAGTAAATGCCTGATTAAAACTTCCAAAAAATTCGTGCATGGGACACTAAGAATTGCAGAATGAATTGTAAAATGAAGTTTTTCTGGCACTTAGTATAAGCATAAGATTAGCAGCATAGACTCAGTTGGAGCCTGAAGAGTATGCTCATAGTCCTTATGTTCTCGGTAGAGGGCTGGGTCTAGGTGCCTTGGCTTAACTCAAACCTTATTGTGCTGGGAGTTTGATGTCAGCTTGACACAAGCTAGAGTAATTTTGG